TAATTAGAAATGTAATTACACATACATAATTTAAATATAATTATAATTATAATCATAATTATAAAAAATTTATAATTATAATTATAATCATAATTATAATAGGTATAATTATTATACGTATTACACTAGTTATAAATATAGTTATTAGGGCTGGGCACGGGTCGGGCCGGGCCGGGTAATGCAAAATAAAATGGAACCGCGGTTCCATTGTACGGTTCAGTCCGGTCCGGGTATTACAATTTTCAAAATAGGAACCGGAAATTACTCGGCCTGTTTGAAACGGGTCGGTCCGGTCCGAGTTTTACGGTTTCTATTCTCATTTCTTGAAATTAGTAAAAACTCACGAAGTTCCAAAAATCAATAATCAATAATATAGGACATTAGCAAGTTTGAAAATAACAACATAGTGGTGCACATATAACACAAGCGAAAAGTCCAATAATACTCCATAATTTCTTGTATATAAGTTTCAAACAATTAAAGAAATTCCAAAAATATGCAACATAGCCAATTTACATATTTTCTAACATTTGTATTTATACATGTTGTCTAACATCACATATTATAGTGATTGTTTTTTTTTATATTAAATTTTCAGTATTAGCCAAAGTTGACACATACATGGTGGGTGGTAAACACAATTTATATATTTTAATAACAATATAATAAAAAAAATATAACAAAATCATCTTTAACAAATAATTAAATTCCATAGAAAGGAATAATTCAATAACAATAAAAAGTAATAAGATATTTATGAAACATTTAATCAATAATTTGAAAATAAAAGGATGTTATTCCAACTCAATTTAAAATCCTACTTCTAGCAAAGAAAAGAAAACTATTTTAAAACCGATTATCACAAAACTATTAATAAATTAATATACAATATATAACGCGCCGGGTCAGGTACCCGTTATTTTTTAATTTTGGAACCGGTCCGGTTCCTTAAAAAAAATTACCCGACCCTACCCGGACCGTTTTATGGCAACAAAAAATGGAATCGGCCCGTTTTGAACCCGAACCGCCATTACCCGGACTGGACCGCTGTTCCAAGACCCGTTTGCCCACCCCTAATAGTTATAATTAGAGGAAGTGGTCCAGCTCAGCTGGTCGCCGACTCACTCTCCCTTATGGGAGGTCTCGGGTTCGAAACTCGAGGTGAGTTTCAATCTAGTTTACTTCAGCCCCCCCAGACCCCTCCCCAATGGTGAGTTTCAAACTATTATTATTATTATTATTAATCATAATAATAATCATAGTAATGATGACGGTGATGATTATAATAATAATAATATCAATAATAATGTAGTAATTATAATAATAATTACAATAACAATAATAATAATAATAATAAATTAATAATAATAATAATAATTAATATTATTATAATTATTATTATAATAAAAGGGCTAAATAATGTCTGAACTTTTCTGATCTGATCTGAATGTTCCTGATCTGATCTGATATGAATGTTTCTGATCTGAATGATTCTGATCTGATCTGAATGATTCTGATCTGATCTGAATCTTTTTTATCTGATCTGAATTTTTCTGATCTGAATAAAATAAGAATAAGCAATAAGTAATAAGATTAAGACGAACATAATAACTTCTTAATATACTCACTTTCTTACTTTATCATCACTTTACTCTTTTTAATACACTCATACACTTTTTTTCCTACTTTATCATTTACCCTAGATACTCTATAGTTACTTTACTAAAACATGTCCCAAGGCCAGAAGGACACGTAATAAAAAACGGAGGGAACAATATATAACTTTTTAAAATAAAGATATTAAAATTGATGACATTTTATTTCAGATGGATGGTTTCGGATGACTAGAGCTTCTCCTTTTCATGAAATTATTATCTACTCCATATGTTCTTCCCGAACAAGAACTTTGCTGCTGCACCCTATCCAAGTTTCAGGGTTGTGCTTTTCTGGTTCCTGCTCAATCTTTCTTGCCCCAAGATCAAGCTGAATCAAGATAAGGTATTATCATACGGATCATCTAATACGTAGTAGTGTAGTACTATGAGTAAGTTTCTCGGACTTTCTACACCTTCCAGTACTGCTCCTTGATATAAACCGTAGTCTGGTGTTCATGTGTTTTCTAGAATTTATGGAAAAGCACTTCTGTATCGTATAGAAAAAACATGGCAACTATTCCGATCATCTTGAGTGATTGGCCTTCGCATTTCCAAGAAAAATGGAACCTTCATATTGGGAAGTCAAAATGTTTGACGAGACATAGCATTTTATCTTACTCGGGACCAAATTTTAGTACTTCAGATTCTGCCCCTTTGATAGGGTTGAGTAATAGATCATGTAAATCTAGGCAAAGATTATTACTTCCTAGCACAGAGGTTAGGTCAATGATAAATGGGAAGAGAAATTTAGGGACGCACTTTAGGGAAAGGGATAGTAATGGAATGAGGAAAAGACATTCATTGAGGCTACGCCCACGATTACGATTATTAGCCTGGAGATTGAAAAGGTTCTCAGTCAGATTAGCCCTAAACAATGGCGGGACATTCCTGCGCAAAAATATGAGAATGGTGCTATCTATATCTGTCTCCTTCATCCTTGGCTTGTGTTATTTGTTTCTGAAGTTGACTGCTATGCCTTCTCCGAAAGTCGTTCCGTATTCAGACTTGGTAATGAGCCTTCAGAGAGGTTCTGTGACTAAAGTTCAATTTGAGGAAGGCTCTCGTCGTATTTTCTACAATATCAAAACAACTGAAGATAATATACCTCATGAGGAAGCAAGCAGTGGAATAATGAGCAGTGATCAAGTTGGGAAGAATATGTTTTATGAAATGTCAAGAGCCAGTAGGTCTGCACCTGTTTGGCAGTTTTCTACTAGAAAAGTTGATCGCGATGAAGGTTACCTTCTCAGTTTAATGAGAGAACAGGGAACAGCATCATATGGTTCTGCCCCTCAATCAGCACTTACATCAATGAGGAGTTTGTTGCTTACTGTTTTGACTTTATGGATTCCTTTGACCCCTCTAATGTGGCTTCTTTACCGTCAAGTATCTGCTGCTAGTACTACAACAGCTAGAAAAAGGAGGTCAGCTAACCTTTTAGTGGATTTCAGTGATGTTGAGGGCGTGGATACCGCAAAGATGGAACTTATGGAAGTAAGTCTCCCGAGTTTTTTTTCCACTTTTTAGTCTGATTGTTGTAGTAATGACACTTTTGGCGCGTCTTTCAATTTTTACGTTTGTTTCTATAATTATGGTGATATAGGCCCTTTTGGTACCCGTCTTTCATGTTTTCTACTTTTAAAGTATGGCTATTTTGATTCTGAGGTCCATAAAATAGTTGAAGGATAAAAAATGTCACTCACACAATAAAACTAGAAAAACGCAAATATGAATGCCAAAAGTATCTAGTGTTTATGAGGGATTACCTGCAACAGAGTCGGGTTTTCCGGAGCATCAACCTCCGTCATCGAGTAGACCCTTTCTTGGATCCTCCCTTGATTCATGGATTGTGCCCTCATCCATGTTTTCTCATATTGGTTTGGTGCTCACTTAGTATGTTCTCGTTCGGTTCTTATTCACCGTGGCACCTCCCATGACTCCCAAGGCCTCACCTCGCCTAATTTGTGGACATTGAAACTTCAAATGCTCTAAATTCTCACATTGATATAGCATCTAGGTTACCCACATTGAAACTTCCTTATGCTGTTGTTGCATATAGTTACCCCTGAGCCTTTTGACCTCGAGTCTTGTTCGGTTGAACCTTGATTCCACCTAGGTGGTGGTACGAGTGTCTTTTAGGATCCTCCTCCTTTGTTGGTCCCACTCTTGTATGGACCATGGAATCATTGTTTTCCCATTTCCTCTTCTTTGCCTCCTTGGCATCCTTCGCGTTGCTTTCCTCCCATTCTTTCTCTACTTGTAGACTTTGCCTGACCACCTGATTGAACGTCATATTTGATAGGTAGGTTACTCTGTCGCACACCTCCAAGTCCAATAGATACAAAAAATGCCTCACCATTCAATTCATATTGGCTGCATATATTGGTAAGAATTCAACCAACGTTCTAAACTTCTATTCCAATTGTTTCATGATGGATTCGCCCCCTCACTTCAAATTTGTAACCTCCTCCTCTTCTAGTTCATCATGAAGGAGCAGGAGTATTGCTCTAAGAACTCTTGTTCAAAGTTGTCCCATGCCCCGATGAACTTCCTTTAACACCATCACATCCATAGGCTACCTCATGAACCTCTTAACCCACCCGGCCACATTAGAGATGTCCTCTGTCTTATCAAACGATTCGCATCCAAGGGTTCCAACATTCAAGTTCCGTATGAATGGAAACTTGATACCCCGATCGATACTCGGTACAACGGAGTTTTCACGTGGGACAACTTTGAGCAGGAATTCTTTGACCAATACTGCTCCTCCTTCGAGCTGAACTACAAGAGGAGGGAGCTATGTAGCATGGATACTTTACTAGAGTACCATATCGACGTATCAGAAACGTTTCCGTATCAGATACTTTATTAAAAGTTTTCAACTTTTTAGGTAATTATTTTAAAATTTCAGATACCCTTATTCTGATGGATACACAAATCAACTTTTTTATAAAAGACACCAAGTTCTTCAGAAATGTAAAACTGAAAATGTATTTTGACCTTCTTTTAATCTAGCACACAGATAAGTATATGAACGACAAGTTAAATGTGGGATGTTGGTAGAGATGACTTTTGGAGCATGGCAGATATAGGACTAGAACTTTTATGATGTTCAATCTGGTGGCCACACAAGGCCTTCAAGGGGAGAAAGAATGCAAGGGAAGGAAAATGAAGGGTGTTGATGATGCAAAGAAGGGGAAATGGAGAAACAATGACCCCCATAATCCAAACAAGTGGGGGGAAACAAAGCAGAATATGATGAGCAGATTGCTCTGTTTCTTTTTGCAGATTGCTGTGTTTGTTTTTACTTATTCTTTGAAGTTGCTAATCATGCATTTTATTGTTTGTAGATAGTTATGTGTTTGCAAGGATCTATAAACTACAGTAAACTGGGGGCAAAGTTGCCTAAGGGTGTGCTACTTGTTGGTCCACCGGGTACAGGAAAAACACTACTAGCACGGGCAGTGGCTGGAGAAGCAGGAGTACCCTTTTTTTCTGTTTCTGCAAGTGAATTTGTAGAACTATATGTAGGAAAGGGAGCATCTCGCGTCAGGGAGCTCTTTAAAGTTGCAAGAAAGAACTCACCTTCTATCATATTCATTGATGAACTTGATGCTGTTGGAGGAAAGCGTGGACGGAGTTTTAATGATGAACGAGACCAAACTCTCAACCAGGTACTCAAATACTTACTTTTATAATCTAAACCGGTTAGTTTCCGATGCCTTTAACCAATCGACTCTATCTATAACAAGATATAACATTTACTACCCTATCATATAAGAACTTATTATTTTACATTTAACTTATGTGATACAAATTCTTTAACCGTTTACAATGTTTCACCAAGTGCAATTTAAGGAGGGGAACCATAATGCCTTTTTTATTATGTCACTTATTGGGCGGTAACTAACAAAAATCATTCAACTGCTCTAGCTACTGACAGAGATGGATGGATTTGAATCTGATACGAATGTCATTGTTATCGCTGCAACAAATAGACCAGAAGCTTTAGATGCAGCTCTATGTCGACCTGGACGGTTCTCCAGGAAAGTACTTGTTGGAGAGCCAGATGAAAATGGAAGGAGAAAGATCTTAGCCGTACATTTGAGAGAAGTACCCCTTGAGGAAGATATGGAACTTATCTGTAGCTTAGTTGCATCTCTTACCCAAGGCTTTGTGGGTGCTGACCTTGCTAATATTGTCAATGAAGCTGCCTTACTTGCTGCTCGAAGAGGTTAGCTTTATACTTCATTCTTTAATGCATGCACCCCTTTGAGTTCTACATTATTCGTGTGCTCTACTTTAACTACATTTTAGTACTAATGTATTAAACATTCATTTTCATTTTCATTTACCCCACTGCCGCAAAGGCTCCCACCTACGGTGGGGTAAGGGGGGTCGGATGTACGCAATCTTACCCCTGTACTAAAGCACAGAGAGATTGTTTCCGGATGACCCATAGTGAAAATCGTGTCCAAAATTGCATGGACTGACTACTGTTTCATAACAAAGAAGAGCAGCCAGTTTAGTGAGCCATTTTGCTTTATTCCATCATATTATCAAGCCAAAAAATAATGAATCTTTGGCTCCATTGCAAATGATGAAAATACTAATGTATTAAACATTATGTTATAATTTTAATGATAATCTTCTAATAGTAAAACTCAAAAATATGTTATTTTACTAATAGCCAATTAAATATTTTAAATGTCGAAGTCGTGTGTTGGTAAGCACAAATTTCAAACTATTGCAATTAATCTTTTTATTCTAAGGTTCTTGCAATTAAATATCTCAAGTACGATTTGAGTACAATTTTACACGATTTCAAAGGATTCCGAATTATTATACGATTCGAATTGATTTTACGATCTTAAATCGTAAAATCGCACTCGATTCAAATAACTATTTTTTTAGAGTGATTCAAATAACTATTTTTATAACCTTTACTGTAATACTGTGTCAAGCCTGGACAAATTTAGTTAGTCTGATCATCTTGGGTCTGGTTTAGCCCATTTATGACATAAATATGTCCAAGAAAAAATGTCTGTGCAAGGCGAGTATGCCCATAGAAATGATAGAATTCCTTGTGAAACTCCCTAGATTATTTTTATCTCCCCCATTCTCTGCTTTGCATTCAGTGCTCCATGGTTAGGGCAGCCGTTGTAGATGTCTCTTCTCTTCCACTTTTTGAATGGTAGATTTCACGCTGCATTTCAATATTATTATATTCCTTGACATACCATAAATTTGTGAATTCTTTTATGGTCATTGATAAACTGCATGTTGTGCCAATTCGCATGACATGCCATGGCTTACAAATTTATGATGTCAGTTGTTTTTCTTTTATTTTTGCAGGGGCTGAATGTGTCTCGAGAGAAGATATTATGGACGCTATAGAAAGAGCAAAATGTGGGATTGATGACAGGCAATCACGGTCTGTAGGCAAAGAACTAGGGAAATTGTTCCCTTGGGTACCTTCTCTAATGAAGCGGAAAGATGGACTACAAATGCCTTTAGGATACCAGACACTTAGCTGAGCTTTGAGTTTTGCGTTCTCGTAGCAGTTATGCGAGTGTGATTAGTAGTCCATAGTATATAATATGCGCATATCAATATTTTCTTTTTGAAGAATTGGACCTTCATCCAGATGTACACAAGGATTTATCAATTACAACACAACTTGGTACATTGCAATCATGCATATTTCTAGTTCACATATTTTCATTTACTAGAGAAGGATTTTTTTGGGATCATGATCTTCACCCCCCCCCCCCCCCCCTGAAGCACATCTTCAAATTTTGTCTTTGGGACTAAAGAATGGTTGAGAGTAGTCTTCTTTTTACCTCATTCCTGAAATCAGAATAGACTGAAATCAGAAATGTAACACAAGTGCAGGAAGATTTTCAAAATAAAGATAATAATAACAATACAAATAAATAAACAATTGCATTTGCAGTTATGTACCTCATGAGTTGTCTGTCAAGGGATGAAGCAGATAATACACCTCTGTTTTCTTCTCCCCTTCTCATAAGATAAGGCATTATTTCATCTACGGGACCGAAAGGCAAGTACTTGCTAACTTGAAAACCTGCATTTCTTAAGCTATATGAAAGAGCATCTGACATTCCATATAGCTGACCAAACTGGACCTTCAAACTGTCCTTTCTCATCCCCAAATCTGTTACCTTGGTTGCAGCCATTTTCCCTGCGAACAAGCATACCAACAATGTATGAATAGATTTGCTTGTAAAAACACAGGGTATTCAAGAATTTTAGACTTTTTACCGGATTCAACATTATGGGTTGCCAGAACAACTGCTCCAGAGCCATTCGCTATCTCATCGAGCATGAAAGACATGCAATCGTTAAAGCAGGTGTGAGTTTGGTGAATGGTGTTATGGATTGGAGACTCGACCCCTAGAGAAGAAGCTACCTGTCTTTCACTTGACATGTAAGCCCCTCTCACCAGTTTGAACCCCATAGGAATCCCCATTTTGTCTGCAGCCTTCTTTGTTCTCACCAGCCTCTCTTTTGCGCCTTTCAGATAGGCCTGAACTGTTCCGAAAACTAAAGGGTTGTCCTCTCTATGGTATGAAACAGCTGCTGTGTAAGCCATATAATCAATAGCTGGCTGCAACACTGTATCCTCTGCATCAATGAATAACGGAACGTCTACCTCCAAGCACTTCTCACAAATTCTCTGCAGTCTCTGATGGCACAGTTCCAGATCATGCTCTTCCTCCCTGCTTAGAGGCTCTGGTTCCTCTGTTGTGTGATAAAGAGGGCTTGATTCACAGAATATCGGAAGTGTTTTTTGCTTCCATGGGAGATGGAAAGAAGGGTTCTTGAACTCCCACCTTAGCAAATCACTTAACCTTTTAATCAATCTCTTGGGGCAAATTGCAGTTATCTTCACAACAATAAAACTCACCTGTATGCATTCAAATCAACCATGTATTAAGACTTGATATTTCGAAAGACGCTTAACATGAGATGGTCCAAAACCTTAGTTGTGGGATGTTAAAGCTTGGAAATTGATCTTAATTCTTAGCGGGAACGAGCTGATGAAGGCAGAGTAACTTACAGAAGAAGAAGGGAGTGAGTTGACCGAGTCAGCAGTTTGAAGAATCTCTCTCAAACTGATATCGCAAGAACTGTTATCTGTGGCATGCTCCAACCCATAATCCAACATTGCCTTAAGACCCGACTCGGATAACTTGGAGACAGTCCGACCCACTTCCTGCAGATCTTTACCCCCGCAGAAATGGTCGTAAAACAGGAGTTTGACTATCCCCAGGATGCTCTCCCGCAACAGAGGAACTCCCATGAGTCTGGACTTCATGACCCAGAGGCCCACATCCACCAACGGCTCCACCGCCGTCATGTGGAGCGTCACAGACGATTTCAGCAATTTTGTCGTTGAAACAGAGGAGAAAAGCTCCTTCGCGTCGTCCAAGTTGAGCAGGGCCTTTCCAGGCGCGGTGGCGGTGGCGGTTTTTGGGTCGGCGATGACGGCGGGGTTTCCGGATGGGGGGACGGCGGCGGCGGCGATGGAGGAAGGTGCTGAGTTGAGGAGGCAGCGGCGGGAGTGACGGGAGAGGTTCTTGAGGAGGAGGGTGGGCTGGCGCGTGGCCATGTCTGAATGTGTGTATCTACGTAAAATGCTCTGTTTTTTTGGAATCGGGAATGAATGTAGAAATTTCTGGTGGTGGGATTCCTCGGGACTCAACAAACTCCACGCATTTTTAACAAACCTATTGGTCTGTTAGATCGTCTTAAATAGAGCATTCAACGCCTACCGTTCGTTCAACTTGAAGAGTTGAACCGTTTGATAGGAGTGCTGAGCAAGGTTACAGTCAGCAGCTAGCTGGCCTAGCCTAACCTGGGGTGAGGACTTCTGGACTTGGATTCTTTGGGAACAAGAGCAAACCGTACGTTTCGCACCCATTATGAATTGAAAAGAACTCCTACGTTCATATATTCTCACTTTCCCTTTTCGGTCGTAATAATATGTCATTTCTAAATCCCTTATCATATTCTCAATCATTCTTAAAATAATATTCTATCTGTCTCGATAAGATTGTCTCATTTTACTTTTTCGGTCTGTCTCATTAAAATTGTCTCATACCAAATTTGGTAATTGTTGTGTGGTTCTAAATCATTCTTACTTTATTCTTACTTTATCAATCCAATATCAACCACATAAACCACTTTTTATTAGTTTGCGTGTCACTCCCTCTTGTCCCATTGTTAGTGGGACGGAAGGAGTACACTATCAATCACTTTTTAGATACAACCATTATTTCATTATCTTCCTATCATACCCTCAATAATTTATATCTCATTTCACTATTTTTTAATTCCACCTACTTTTAAACGGGAAGATATATCTGTTATGGAGGTAGTATTTCTATACATTTTTTTATATAAATAAGGACACATGTCAGTGGAGAGATTTTTTTTGTCGGTGAATAGTCCGTTCACAGACAAAATAAATTAATCGATGACGGTGCTTATTTGTCTGTGAAGAGGCTATTTGCTGACAAAAAATTGTTCCCAATATATGTACCGGTGTATAAAAGAGCGTGTACAAAAATAATGATTGATTTGAATTTGGGATGAACATATCTGCACGGATAGCTCAACGGTGGCTGGCCGAGTAAGGTTGTTGGATTGATGCCTTAGGTTCAATTTCCGGCAGCGGCCGTGTGAGAGTTTCATTCTATGTGATGACTCCTTGTGCACACTGTTGGGAAAATGTGTTGAAATTGCATTAAATGGTAATTTTGGGGCAATTTTTTGAGTGGGGTCCACTTCCGATTTGGGTGAGGTCAAAGTGGTTTCGGATTGTCCTTGTTAAGGGCTACAATTCGATATGTGGTACGCTCAAAACGGATAACGGGTGAATGAGAAATTGATTCTCGAAGTTTACCCGTTGGAATGGGAAAACTGGGAAAAAGGATGAGTTTCTAGTGTGTTATTTCCGACACCGGAAAACCCAAGGGATTTGCAAAACTTTATAAATGGAAAACCCCCTTAAGAAGTTAAGATTACTTAGGGTAAAGGCTCTCGCCACGCGCGCGGGGTGGGGGGTGCAAATCAAATCCCGAAATCGGAGAAGAAAAACCGAGACTTGCGAGCGACCTGCGGACACGAATGTCGTCCAAAAATCTATCTCTCAAGAGATACGGTTAATCGGAGAAGAAAAACCGCGACTTGCGAGCGACCTGCGGAC